TCGTTATTGTAAGGTTATTCACCATTCTACTATAGTTCCTCTTGACCTACATACCTCATAAAATGTCCGGTATGGAGGGTAACCAAGTTCTAGACGAATGTCTACGCAACCCCATCAGTACACCCACCACACCTCCAGAGAGCCCACTGCAAGTGTGCATCAGGTGACCCGTCTGTGACCAAGTACTTACTTATCACCCCTCCAATAGGTTCCAGTTTCCAGAACAACCTCTTAATGTGGACCTCTGTCGAACGCATTTTTTAGGTCCAGAACTCGTGTACAGGTTGAAGTGGTAGTGTAAACATTATCAGTGCCACCCTTTTTTGTATTAACGTAAGCTTGTACCTATGCTATTTCTTTTGTATGTTAGCCAAGTGTGTCAAGTCAGGGATTTTGGTGTATTTCGTGTTAGTTGTTTATCTTGATTATATAGTAAACTTGTATAAGTTTTATATGAATATTCCGTTCCTTCCTGTTCAATTTTCACACTGCAAAGGCCAATGCGTTTATTATTATTATTATTATTAATGAGATGTGTATGTGCCATATTCTATCTGCCCGGTATAGCCACAGTATCGTTATCACGTCATAATATATGCATCTATCTATAACTAGGAACGCTATGACCCGACCTGGGTTCGAAACTTCATTGTCAGGGCGTACCCGATGGCGTACTCAATACTAATACCACTTCATTGGCGCTTGTCTATATGGGTATGTTAGTCATGAGCTTTATAACTAAAAAAAACCTCGGCAACACTCGGTGCAGTTCGGGCGCAGATTTTCATCAAACCCTGGTATAAGTTTATACAAAACCTCTAGACCTAACGTACAAAGTTAGGCACGGTGACAACAACTGTAAATCATTAACAAATGAGCAAAGTACATCTAAAAGGCTCTCCTAAATTAAGGTAACAAGCTGTAAGACACGCCTCAACATTAAAAAAATAACTGAAAAGGCCACCACCAACAAACTGTAACCACCAAAATTATTCATGTAGGACCCTTTATATATCAGCTGAAAAATTTTAATATAGCAATACGTATATGTTAAGTAGACTAAATTAGAGCTACATACGAAATGAACACAAAACTAGTATTTCAATTAGGCCTATATTTGATTCTAGTTGCTTCACATCTGGGTAGGTTAAAACCCAAGGAAACAGTAACACTACGCAGGGTGCAGTCGCACCTCCACAGGTCTCCAGTATCATCTATTGATAGTGGTATTGGCTCAAAAGGGCCACCACTTACGGGCTATTCATGCCCGTGCCACCTTTTGGGTGGCTTAATCTTCATCAATCAATCAGTAGCACTAACAGACTACTCGCTCACTGGCCTTTGAGACGGGACACTGCACCTCAGGACGTTCATTACTTCCCTAGCTGTATGGCATATCATATTATTTTACCAATTTCTCCAAATTTTATTACCCTAGAGCGCTGATGCCCGACACATGAATCCATGTACCCAACAGTACTCTTCAAGGTTCTGCTTAATAATAATTTCATGTCCACCTCCCATTCCAGCATATTTTGAGGCGTTAGATAAAGTTGACCAAAGCCTTCGCAGAAAATATGGAATGATCTCAACAGCAATAGCAAACCAAAGGGCTAATTGGTTTGCTTTGCTATTTATATGTTCTTACGTATAGAACTCAACAATTGTACACGTGAATTAATTTTTGTTACAATTTAAAAATATGTAAATGAATTAATTACTTCAAGGATAATATATACATACTGGTTTAATATCGTATGTACACCAAGTTCAACTATGTTTATTGAGACAAGAAAATATATCTCAAAGAGATAGAGTGGCTTAGGCTATTTCTACCCCTCAGATATGTACACCACCATGGGAAATAGTATAAATCATCCTAGAACTAAACCAACATTCACACCAGTGAATGCAGGCCTTAGGTAAAGGCCTCAGCACCAGCAACCTTGCAAATAAAACGTTTAAAATACTGTACAGCGCGAAAGTGTGAAAACTTCAATGGAAAACCACTACCTACAAAGTCCAATTAAACTCACACAAGGGGAAGTAGCTTTAAGCCACAATGTAAGAGACAAAGGGAGATGTTTTTCAAAGTATAAACCCATGAATCTCTTGCCCACCGAAGCCGTAAATACGATTGCTACAGTTCAAAATGTAACTGGAAAAACTCATCAAGCATAATGGGGGCAAGATGTTGTTGTTGTTTAAGATTCGCTAACTGGAACAAAAGGTTCCAAGCAGCACGGGCTATGGTGAGCCCGTAGGGGGGAAGGAGGACCTTACACAAACTCCTGGGCACCTTCCCATCAACGCAACTAAGAGATTGTGACTTTTGGGAAAAATATAAAACATATGGTCTAATCCACTGTGTCTGTATGACTACAATAGCACGCGTAGCGTTTCGGGCAGTTCCTTAATCTTCCCCGGAATACGACCAGCCAAATCGTTTAATTAAGAACCAGGTACCCATTGGCTACTGGGTGAACAGAGGCTACAGTTAAGGAATAGCGCCCAGTCAATCCTGCCCAGCCAGGATACGAACCCAGGCCAAATTGCTGGTGAATGTGTCTTACCAGTGCGCCACGAGGCCAGCTTCCTCTACTGCACCATGATGCAGCCTCCACACCCTTGTGCTCTCTTATATCACCTTGTCGAATCTTTGCACACCCGGCACTTAATCACCTTTATATATGCAACTGTTTCTTGAATTAAAATGGTAGTAGAAATTTGACAGAAGGCACAAATCGGGTTCTATTGCAATATAGAGAGCGGTAGGCCGACGCCTGCCACGAGCAAGTTCAATTCAAGTTCAAGTATGTTTATTGAGATAAGAAAGAAATACATCTCAAAGGGATAGAGTAGCTTAGGGTATTTCTACCCACCTCACACAGGTGAGTACGGCACTCTTACCTCAGCACGTGGCTGTTGCCTCTTGCTCTCGTGACTCATCATCTACACATACCCCTGTGAGGGACTCACAATACCATACACCCAACCAGTCTTAACTCGCTTCAGAACGGCCTACACTCTGACCTCCAGCAGGTGAAGGTGGTCAGTACAGCTGGTCAAGACCGCACGCCGGCCATCGCTGCCACGCCACACACACACATTTACCCACAATATTCCCTACCTCATCCTTAACTTCTCGACGAAGAGCTTGGCGGACGTCAGCCATCATGAATCAAGACGGTACAGGTGACAGGGCAAGGTAACTATGAAGGCGTGCAGCAGGCGCGGGAAGGCGTGCAGCAGGCGCGGGAAGGCGTGCGACTCCTGCAGCAGTTGACGCGCCACTGACGCCCAGACGACGCTCGCGCCGTCTTCTCACCCGTCCAAAATTCAAATAAAATTTGTATTATCTTTTCCCTATTTCTTTTAACTTTACTGAAAATGAATTAAGGATATTTTTCCCCACATATGTACTATCTTTACTCTTCAATTAGATTTAAGTAGTCAAATTCTAAAAAGGAAAGATAGTATAAATGTGGGAATAATATGTTTTAACAGTCACGCTCGAAGGATTAAAAAATAGCATTGTTTTCTTATTGCCATTACCAACAATTGTTTGATGCTTTATATATATATATATATATATATATATATATATATATATATATATATATATATATATATATATATATATATATATATATATATATATATATATATATTCATCTTCAGACGAGTAATAAGATATTCATTTTAAAATATTTATATTTTCAGAAACATTAGGCTGTCATTTAGGCTATTCGTTTGGCCTGAATCCCGACTGTAATTTTAGCGGATATAGTATTTAATATATTTTTTGTGACACATAATTGTTTGACATGAACAGTTAAGTTTGTATTAAAAACTTGCATCTAAGGGAGTAAAATATCAAATTAAAATTAAAAACCTTAAATGCAAACACATTATTCGTTAACACAAGAAAACAGTAATGCTAATAATACTGATCATTGTAATTATAGCCCTACCCCTCCCTTTCCACCCAAGAAGGAAATTAGAGATCAGCCCAAGCTTCGTCTTGAGGCAAAGCTCAACGCCTTAAGCCATATTGATGCTCTGTCCACAGAGCATTCTCTCTCTCAAATCATATACACTGATGGTTCCCTACACCGCACCACGGGTGCAGCTGGAAGTGCAGTTGTTCTGACAATGGGCGATGACTTGTACTTTGAGTGGGGAGTCCGTATAAACAACTGGGCCTCTACCCTTCAGACTGAACTATTTGCCTTGCTCCTTGCACTGAAATGTGTACAAGTCTCCAAACTTGATACATTAATTGTAAGTGACTCCTTATCAACCTTAAATGCTCTCAACTCTTTAAGACATAACAGTAACATGCTCGTGTCCGAAGCTAGACACAAATACAACAAAATTATTAAGGATGATAACAGAGTCCATTTCATGTGGTCTCCATCTCATGTTGGCCTCCGAATGCATGATAGAGCTGATAAGTTAGCCAAAGAATCTGCCTTTAAAGGAGCCGTTGAGTGTAACCTTGGATTGTCAATGAGCAATCTGAGAGCAGCAATACACCGAGAACTTCAACAAGATCTTGTAGATCTGAGGCAAAGTGAAATTGACACCAGTAATTCCATCTATCATCATACTATCATGCAAGAGGAGCCACACACCTATGGATCATCCAATAAAATCAGCAGACTTCTAGATGTTACTATTGCTCGGCTTAGACTCGGTTACAAGTATCTCTGGGAATTCTCATTATCTGCTGATGTAGACCTGACTAAATGTAAACTGTGTCAACAAAATTATTCGCACACTCTCCGTCACTATGTGATGGAGTGCGAAAAGATACGTGAATTTAGAGACAATTCTATAACCAATGTTCCAGCGATGTGTAAATATTTCATTCAAAATGATCTGCTACCAGAAATTTTAGCCAAATATCCCCAGTTTGCTAACTGTAGGTAGTAACTGAGTGATTGTAACCTATCCACCGCTGCCCACTGGATGGGGGGCGGTGTGCAGGACAAACATATCAATTGTGACACTAGCTCTCCACATACCTTACCTTACCTTGAGGTTACTTTGAGGTGCTTCCGGGGCTTAGCGTCCCCGCGGCCCGGTCGTCGACCAGGCCTCCTGGTTGCCGGACTGATCAACCAGGCTGTTGGACGCGGCTGCTCGCAGCCTGACGTATGAGTCACAGCCTGGTTGATCAGGTATCCTTTGGAGGTGCTTATCCAGTTCTCTCTTGAACACTGTGAGGGGTCGGCCAGTTATGCCCCTTATGTGTAGTGGAAGCGTGTTGAACAGTCTCGGACCTCTTATGTTGATAGAGTTCTCTCTCAGAGTACCAGTTGCACCTCTGTTTTTCAACGGGGGTATTCTGCACATCCTGCCATGTCTTCTGGTCTCATGTGATGTTATTTCTGTGTGCAGGTTTGGGACCAGCCCCTCTAATATTTTCCACGTGTAAATTATTATGTACCTCTCCCGCCTGCGCTCAAGGGAGTACAGTTTTAGGCTCTTTAGTCGGTCCCAATAGTTTAGATGTTTTACTGAGTGGATTCTAGCAGTAAAGGATCTCTGCACGCTCTCCAGGTCAGCAATTTCTCCAGCTTTGAAAGGTGCTGTCATTGTGCAGCAGTACTCTACTCTAGAGAACACAAGCGTTTTGAAAAGTATCATCATCGGTATAACATCTCTAGTGTGAAAAGTTCTTGTTATCCAACCTGTCATTTTTCTTGCAGTTGTGACGGCTACTTTATTGTGTTCTTTAAAGGTAAGGTCTTCCGACATGAGTACACCCAGATCCTTTACATTGCCTTTTCGTTCTATGTTATGATTTGCCTGAGTTTTGTACGTGGTTTCCGTTTTTATATTTTCATTTTTTCCATAGCGCATGAGCTGGAACTTATCTTCGTTAAACACCATATTATTTTCTGTAGCCCATAGAAAGACCTGATCTACATCTGACTGGAGGTTCGCCGTGTCCTCTATGTTGCCTACTCTCATGAAGATCCTAGTGTCATCTGCAAAGGATGATACAGGGCTATAGGTTGTGTTCTTGTCTATGTCCGATATGAGGATGAGAAAAAGTACTGGAGCAAGCACAGTACCCTGGGGGACTGAGCTCTTCACGGTTGATGGGCTGGATTTTATTTTGTTGACTATTACACATTGGGTTCTGTTGGTCAGGAAATTGTAGATCCATCTGCCTATTTTTCAGGTAATTCCTTTTGAACGCATTTTATGTGCAATAACACCATGGTCACATTTATCAAAAGCTTTTGCGAAATCTGTGTAAATTACATCCGCGTTATGTTTGTCTTCCATAGCATCTAATGCCATATCATAGTGGTCCAGCAACTGCGACAGGCAAGAGCGCCCTGTTCTGAAACAGGGCAACTGACATATGTCAGTTGCTTAATTTAGAACCTGTACTTGAGTTCGATCTCGAACCCATTGTTGATGTGACGACTTATATTGAATTTTGTAACTAGCTCATCAAGATTGTAACTTGCTTAGCTAAATGAATTGTGGGGTTTAGTCCCTCAGCCCATTATGTGCCTCTGTAACCCTTTCCACTACCGCCCACAAGATGGGTATGGGGTGCATAATAAATGAACTAAACTAACTAACTTGTAATTATAGGCTACATTATATCACAAAACATCACTACATTACAACACAAAATGAGAATGCCAATTATGACATTATACTGAATGTATTAAATTAATGCAAACAATGGATCCTGTGGTACAGCAGTCTACGTTCTCGACTCACAATCGATCCCCAGATGAAACATATATAGTTGGGCACATTTCCTTTTACCTAATGAACCTGTTTACCTTGCAGTAAACCAAGGTGAACTAAGGGCGCAGGAGGTAAGCAACTGTTGTGGCTTGCATCCTAGGGTCAGTAGTTCGTTTAGGGGTGATCTCATTACAAGCCTTCATACATGTTACTTGTTCCCGCCAACGGAAATTACACTAACGACATTAATTGACGCATTATACAAACACAAGACACAAGACATAACTATTAACCTAATCTAAAGTAAACGTTGCTGAACCTTCTTTCTCCAAACCAATCATCTCGCACATAAATATTGATATCCAAATACCAATATTGCAATCTCTTTGATATCCCCAGAGTCAAACTAAATCTGTGCAAACACTCCATGCAAATAAAAAGACTCAGTCTATGGAACACACTCCTTAGCGAATTAAAAGATTGTCTAACCTACGCCTTATTCAAAAGTAAAACCAAACAGTACCTAATTTCATCCTCATAGTTTCCTACCTTGTGCTTCAAACTCACACTGTATCTTGTGCTACCCACGCCTCCAATATTAATACTTAAGGCATGCAACTTCACGTAATAATCCCCATCAATTTGAATTGTTGTTATTATGTTAAACTCAAATTTTGCTACAATGTTCCTCTTAATAAACTTATCTGTTACATTAAGGACCTGCCCGAAACGCTATGTGTTAGAGGATTTGCAAGAATGAAAGAACACCAATGTTATGTACTTCACAACCAAATGTACTTTCTTGTATATAAATAAATAAATAAATAAATAAATAAATAAATAAATAAATAAATAAATAAATAAATAGTAAATAGATAAATAAAATAAAATAAAAATGGAATAACTGGCTGATAAGCTTAAGCAGTCCTAAATATTCCCATTGTGCAATGACCCTAAACTTTCTTCTGTTCCTCGTAAAACCAAGTCACCTACAGTTAAGGTACAAATGACAACTACAGTATTACGCGCCATGACATGTTCCCAGTAATTGCACTCTGCGTTTAATTTGTTTTCCAACTGTTGTCCCAAGCCTAACCTTAAGTGGGCTTTACTTAGAATATTTTTAAATAGGTTATATTTTGAATCCACATCGAAAACCCCCTTTTCCGTCACCAGTCGCTGGGTTCACGTCCAGCCCACACACCATCCCCAAGACATTCCAATCTATTTGACTCAAAAAAATTCTTAGGCTATTGAAATCAGCTTTTCGAAAATCAGGCACTTAAGTGTGGCCTATCGCTGTTTTCATTAATTGGCATATTTTCGGTATAAAAAGTCGTAATTTGAAAATGCAAATAGGTGCAGTCAGAATTTAGCTCAAAAATAACGCTCTGGAGTCAAATTTCCGAAATTTAGGATATTATGAAAACTGCAGGGAGATTTGGACAAAATATGATACATCGCGGTTTTCAGCTCACAGTGATGTCAAGAGTCCGGAGCTAGAGAACTTGAGGTTGAAGTGGTGGTGGTGTAGACTTCATCAGGGACGCTGAAGGCTGGGAAACCATTCGCTTTGTAAAAAATATTCAGAATTCTCACATATTCTAATGGGGTTAGTGCCAGCAATCGTTCTGGTCGTCGATGTCAAAGCTTGTACTGTGCTATACAGTGATTGGTCGAGGTGGGATGAAGGTGACGACGGCTAGCTCGATGAGTAGCTGGTAGGTTAGGAGCTGGGACCCCATTGGCTAGTAGCAGCAGGTTGTTGGTGTGTGTGTGTGGTGGTGGTGGTGGTATTTCGTCCTCCTGGAAAATCCTGGAAAGTGGCGGCTTGAACGTTGAAGGTGGAGGTTGAGGTGGTCGTTGATCGGTTTGGTTGGAGCTGAAGTGCCTGGGCCGGTGCCAGCTCCTGCAGATGTGGTTTTCACCAGGTTCTTGATAGCTCCTTGTCTTCGGGGACAACGATGGGATATTGCAGGATGATCGCCATTGCAAAGGTAGTGTTTTCGACTTGCAGATATAATAATGGTAATTAGATAAGCAGAGGCTACACTTTTGAATTCGCTGTTGACATTTGCTGCTGGAGTGGGTGTACTCGTAGCCCGGAGGCACTGGTTGACATTGTAGAATCTTTTCATTTTCATTTGGTATGATGGAACGTGGATAACGAAGCAGTTGAAACCGTTCTTGGCAGCCCTGGTAGTTCTAGCTACTGTGGTGAAGATGAGCTTAAAGGCGCGGTTGTTGCACATGATAGTCATATAACTCCATGTCCTCGTTTGATTCCTCGATGTTGGTATACTTGATCCACGGCTCTGTTCATAGATCCAATGTGCTGAGGTTACTGACAAAGACTGATCGGGCAGTAGTGTATTAACTTGGGTAAAAGCTATAAAAAGTCGTAATTTCAAACTCTCAAATATGGGCAGCGAGCCAGAATTCGGCTAAAAAATAACGTCCACGAGTCAGATTTCAGAGATTTCCGAAATTTTGAAAACTGCAGGGGGGGGGGGGGGTTGAACAAAATCTGACCCATCGTCGTTTTCTCTAATGGACATATTTTCGGTATAAAAAGTCGTAATTTCAAACTCCAAAAAATGTGCAGCGAGCCAGAATTCGGCTCAAAATTCGTTCAAGTCATATCTCCGATATTTTTTTTTTTTTTTTTTTTTTTTTTGAGATATATACAAGAGTTGTTACATTCTTGTACAGCCACTAGTACGCGTAGCGTTTCGGGCAAGTCCTTAATCCTATGGTCCCTGGAATACGATCCCCTGCCGCGAAGAATCGTTTTTTCATCCAAGTACACATTTTACTGTTGCGTTAAACAGAGGCTACAGTTAAGGAATTGCGCCCAGTAAATCCTCCCCGGCCAGGATACGAACCCATGACATAGCGCTCGCGGAACGCCAGGCGAGTGTCTTACCACTACACCACGGAGACTGCATATTTTGAAAATTGCAGGGGGATTTCGGCAAAATCTTACCCATCCCCGTTTTCACTAACTGGCATATTTTCGGTATAAAAAGTCGTAATTTCAAACTCCAAGATTTCCAATATTTCCAAAACTGCAGGGGGATTTGCAGTTGCGAAACTTCGGAAATCTGATTATCGAGCGTTATTTTTGAGCCGAATTCTGGCTCATTAGACATATTTCCAGTTTGAAAATACGATTTTTTATACCAAAAATATGCCAATTAGTGAAAATGGCGTTGGGTCAGACTGTTCAAATCCCCCTGCAGTTTTCAAAATATCCGAAATTTGACTCTTGACAGATATTTTTAGCCGAATTCTGGTTCACTGCATATATTTGGAGTGAAAACGGCGTTTGGTAAAATTTTGCCCAAATTAGTAGTAGTAGTGCTGCTGCTGCTCCTGGTGCTGCTATTACTGCTCCTGTTGCTGCTACTGCTGCTCCTGGTGCTGCTGTTCCTGCTGCTCCTGGTGCTGCTGTTCCTGCTCCTCCTCCTCGAGGAGGAGGAGGTACACTCTACATGTATAATGTGATGGGTCAGTAGCTAGGGATGGGAAGGCAAGATGTGGAGTCTTGATCAGGGAGTACACTGACATCGGCACTGTAGATACTGTTATTGGACGCCGCATAACTGACAACGTCTCTTCAACGCAGGGTGAACTCCAAGGTGTATTAGCAGGATTACAGAAGTAGTCAAATGTGGTGAAAATGCTTGCTTCTTTATTGACAGTAGAGGAGCGTTAGTCTTTAAATAGCAGACGCCCAGTATACCAGAATATTGTGATACCAGAGTGTACAGAGAATGTTAAGAAATTAGAAAAAACTGGGTATAAAGTAAGATTCATGTGGATCCCTTCACATGTGGGAATACTGTACTGTTAAATGAGGTAGTTGACGAGATAGTGAAGAGAGCCCCGGAAAAAACTCTTGTTGATATATGTCAGATAGCCTTGAAACAAATAAAAACAAGAATCAAGATGATCCAAGGTGAAGAAATGGTAAAGAGAAAGGCAATGGTGGACAGTAGAAACACACTTAAGAATTATTCAATAATAAATACAAATTCGTCCTTCACCTATGGTAGAGGAAAGTTTACTTGGAAGGATTCAATTTACATGTGATTAAAATTAGGATTCAAATATATCTGGCAATACAGTGTTGATGTCAGTGAAAAAGAGGAGTGTAAATTATGTAGTATGCCGCACGCCCACACCTTAGAACATTATGTATTAGTGTCAACCTATTCATAACTATAGAAATAAGGAAATAGTGTACCACATCAAATTGTTTGAATGTGTGATAATGGTACTGTACGATAGACAGTATACTTAGGAGCTACCAGAATTTTGCCCCAAGAGTGTAACAATTATATGCCGTGCTTACTATATTAACCTGCAATGTTAAATGGGATTCTTGTATTGCGATTTGTGTTTTTGTGTGCCCCTTGAGGGACTGGAAGTAGAGGGGGGGTAGAAATAGCCTAAGCTACTCTATCCCTTTGAGATGCATTTTTTTTCTTGTCTCAATAAACATACTTGAACTTAATGACCATAATTCAGTAAAAGACATTACCGCAAGTACAGGAATAGAGGCGACCTGGTCAGGTCAAGAAGAATAAGAGGATTGGACCTAGAATAGCAGCCTCGTTAGACATTGAGGTGCAAGTCTCGTCCTAATCACACCCAGACCTTGACAAAGCACTCATGAGTGCACGAAAGACTTTGATGCAAATTCCTTACACAAATACGCAAGTGTGGGTTATTATCCTATTATATATATATACATTATATATATAATATATATATTATATTATATAATATAAATATATATAATATATATTGGTACTGTAATTATTTTTGCTATATGTACACTTTTAAAACCACTTTACAGATTAAGTATCTCAGTATTGAACAATTCTTACATGCCATTTCAGAACAGCCAATTATATCTTTTTGGTTCAAGTAATTTATGAAGTTATTTGGTCGTATATTCTATCAAGACTTGTTTTAAAGTATATAAAAAATAGATAGGCTAGTGGTGATGCATTGTAGATATCATTTCAAGGTTAATATCAGAGAGCTGGAATATTGGTGATGCAGATTACTTGTGTAGATAAAATATAATCATTATATTTAACATGACAAATACAAATTATTCATAAAAATCTTCATGGCCAAACCTTTCCTTTCATTTATGTTTGGAAAAATAATTAAACATTACAATAATTCAACTGAAAAAATGTATAATTGTTATTAGATAATTAGAATCCCTTGTGTAATCATCTTTTAATTTTATTTTAAATGCATTGTACAACCAAACAGATGCCATTTCCAGCAAGCCTTAGCCTGTTACACATAATCTGTTTGAAGCAACACATGCTACAATAACATAGCTGCCAGAACCTGGAACCCGTAATGAAAGTATTTTAATCAATACATTCATGGAATTTACTGTACAACTGTGCTGCCATTATTAACATGTTCCATTTGTCTGTTACTCTTTCTTCTTGATAATGAGAGGACCAACATTGTCTTGACAAACATTGTTGTGTGCATTGTGGCTTCCATCGCAATATGGAAACTGAAAAAGAAATCAATGTCAATAGAATGTTGTTCAAAGGTAGTTTCTACCATCACAATACCATTTAGCTTAGATCATGTTACAATCCCAAGACATGAAAATCCATCAAAAGATCAACTTCCTGGGGCTTAAGACAATTATATAACCATTTCTGGGAGTAGTCCCTTTGTGACTCCCTGAAGGTACCTCATCAAGATGGCACCCCAATACTGGGTCACATTAATCGCAGGAGTCTGGTTTGGTCTGCTGGAGATCAGAGCCAAAACCTGGCCATCCCCCACACAGAGACACAAGGAGCAGAGAATTATCATTATCACATTCACCGGGAAAGCATACAGAAAGTCAGTGAAGCATTACTGACAACAGCAATCTTCATAAAAAAGTTTTTTCTTCCTCTGGGAGCCTGGTGTGAACATGGCAACTGTTACACTTCAAGCTACATGTGCTTGGGGTGACTATCCCTTGGGTGCTCATCTAGCATTAACACTGAATTGACAGTTCCTTGTCTGGTGTCTTCAGAAGTTTGTCCTGCAGAGGACTGACCACCAGATTAGGGTGCCTCACCTTGAGCAGTGCACGAGCCATCGACTCTTAATGTGTAAGCCCTTAGCTGGTAGTGTAATAAGTGTAATTACCCAACACAAGCAATTAAGTAATTACACAAGTGCAGTTATAGGGTACTGCAATTAGTACTCTTGATTTGGACGCTCGTGGTGTCCACTCTTCCCAGTACTCTGTCGTATAACGCTTTGAAACTACCGATGGTTTTGGCCACCACCACCACTACCACCTCACTTAATTTGTTCCGTCTACCACTCTGTTTTCAAAAGAACATTTTCTAATATTTTTTGGTACCTCGTGTTTTCTTAACTTCCTCCCGGGGGCAAAATTGAGGCGTTGACAGAAGGAGAACGGGACCTTCCTCCTTCTCAACAGAAGGAGAACAGGCGCGATCAACATGAACACTGCTGGGAGGAGGATGGACAACAGCCTGGACAGACAAGCAGTGTGGAGGGCCAAAAGACAGTGGGGAGGGATTGGAAGAAGGATCGGGGGGAGAAGGGAAAGAAGACACAGGAGACGGGGCAAACTGGGAAGGAAGGGAGAAAACACCAGATGGAGAACCAGGAGGACGACCTTCTGGTTTAAAATGTAAAGGAGCAGGTGAGGTGGTTATGGGTCTGTCTGGGGTCCAAGGCCTGGAAACGATTGTGAGACTGAAAAAGGAGAGGGCGATGAGAGGTGGAACGCAACACTTGAGCATAACATGCCAGCGAAAGGGGGAGACAGCGTACTTTGCATCTCGCCTCAGGGAAAGACAAATGATCGCGGTGTTTCAAATTGAGGATGGCTTCAAATTTGTTGTGCATACACATGCAGGACAAGGTAGTGTGGGCATCACCGCAATTGGTGCAGTGAGCCTGGGAAGAGGAGCACCATCTTACAAGTGACCCTGAGTCCCCACACAAGGGATATAGAGACACTGCACTTCTGCATTTGAGGGGGGACCATCCCCAAGTTTCCAACACCTGTTGCAAAGTTTAGGAGAGGGAATGTACTCTTGAACAGATCATCTGGCACCATCAAGAATGATATAAGGCAGAAGGGACCTACTATCGAAAGTGGTCTTCACAACTCAAAGAGGTAGATGATGTCGACCACGAGGAGGAGTCGTGTGAACGTATCAACCTGGAGGACAGAATAGCCTTGGGCTTGAAGGATATGTTTAATATCCTCGTGACAGTCTTTCAGGTCCCTAACACCAGTCGCAATATGGTGCAGGAGAATCACTGTGCCAATACTGGCATTTAACCAGACATTTTTTGAGATCCTAACAGGCTTCTTTCCAATGCTGGACGACGAGGCTAAGCGGGCAGCTGCTTCCCGAGAAGGCACGGCAACGACACGTGTACCAGTATGGGTGGGGTTAAAAAGTAACAAAGATATCCACCGAATCAACGAGGTGTTTATGGAGAAAGAAATCGTCAGGACATGTAATCCACATGGTTGAGATCAAAGTACTAAGTCCATGTAGCAGGACCAAACAAGGCTTGGAACGAAGTAGAAGTGGGAAGAATTGTGTGGGTGCGTCTGCAGAAGGAACGGCGCCAAGCACCTCAGTAAGAGGGGTAAAAGGTGCAGTGGTCACAATGAGAGGAGCCACTCCAAGTGATGAGGTGGTCAACACTGGGGGCTTGGGACTCAACCCTGCCACAGAGGTGGAAGGGGAGCAGAGAAGAGGTAGTCAGGATAGTCAATGAAGTAGCTTGGTCTGGGCCCAGTGTAGCGGGGGCTACAGAGCCCGGTTTTCCATCGGGGGCCTGGTCGCCCATCCCACGAGCCTGGATAAGAGGTTGGTTCAGTTTCCATACAGCATCAATTCTAAAAGTCTGGGTTCTGGAACTAAGAGGGCAGTCTTACCAGGGCAGTCAGAGAGGCTAGCACTGGCCAGTGCAGGAAGGGGTGCATCTTCCCCAGTGGTGCTTCCCCATTTTTAACAGGGGTCCTATTACCTTGTACATTTTCCGACACTGGTGCAACAACCCAATTCTCCCTTTCGTCCCAGCCTGGACACCCAACATATACATATGTTGGGTGTCCATATACAACGCCAAAAGAGGGGGCAGGGAAGGGAGTCAAGGCAACCCTCATCTGCCCCAGGGAGTCGTACACGAGTCCCATCATCACGACAAGGAGACACTTCAGAGGGGGGCCAAGGTGCCAAGAGTAGTATTTGATAGATCGGCCCAGTGAGAAGACCAAGGGAGACCTGCCAACGTGTAGAACAAGGTTGTCATTTATTAGTTTCATGTTTAGAGTACTGCATGTTATGGCATTGTACATTTTGATATATTAATATGATATTGTGAACTCTTATAGTGAAGGACATTATAAATAACCATCTGCCCAAGAGCCAAGTAGTGACCAGTGTACATTATATGTACCTGTATCTACTATCCAGAACATGTTTCTTTTGTTTTAACTACTGAATGTATCCCAACTTGCCCTAATGTAACAAAGCATGATCAGTACTGTATATTCAGGGAGTGAAGTTACACATCAGAGCTGTCATTGCAGACCTAATGGTGGAACATGTACTGTAAGTGGAATCTTGTTCTATTTATAGAGGAGTATGATAATACAGTATTGCATCTTTGTCCATTAAATGTTCTTATTTTTTAAGACTAAGGCATTTTCCTTTTTGCTTCTGTGGATCTGAAAATTCTTGACATACATTAGTACTCCTGGCTTCTTCCTGTACTATGCGAGAGGATAAAAGGAAAAAGGATCAACAGAGTTGAAGGAGGATCACCTGAGAATTTACAACTGAGATAGGATATCCTATTCATATATTCAGCAGCAAGGAGATGGCACATTGCAACTGGGTCTCGCTGAAGTGAATCCCCATATCCAGCGTAGACCTGCCTCAAGACACGAGGCATTGCCAGATGACTTCTTAAGGTGTTGCAGGTCCAAGAGGGGTCCCAGTATGGGGGTACTGCTTTTTTTGTTGGTCTTCCTTTAACCCTTAAAGTGCGCATCACGTCATATGACGTGCTGGACGTTGTTCCAGTCAACTGCGCATCACGTCATATGATGATTTGGAGTACTACGCAAGATTTAAACAGCCCGCGGTTACACGGGGTTCACCACACCTTCATCAGGGCTCTTGTAAACAGACGCCATTTTAAAAAAAAAATCGTGGGCCAAACTCCCGGGTGTTATCGGCCTCAGTATTGAGTGAGCAACCAAGCCTGACGCACGCAGCATGAGCTAACAGCACTGCTGTTCAGCTTGTGACCACAGCATCGCCTAAAAATGCCAAATTATACTTGTTCATACTATTATGTAGCGATGATATTATTACAGAAGACCCCTGACTGATAAAACTGACCAGGGTTCTGATAATAGCAGGATTGTGGTGATATTTAGCGCTGTGTGCCATGGAGGGAGGAGTAATGCTGTTAGAGGGAGGGTGGTGGCGATGTCTTTTGACTGTGAGTGGCCACCTTTTATTGACTGCACTCAGCATACCAGCTTAGTGGTTCGCTATGGTGAACACAAATGTAGATACTTATATATAACGTGTGTATAGAGGGTATAAACAGCAAGAGAAGGTTTGGAGCCGCCATTTTGGTGAGGGCGGTGGCGTCGTCTGCACGATGCCACCGTGCAGACGACGGTGTTGTTTACTGGTTACCACGATGGTCTTTGGGCACCATACCAGTTTATTTGTACAAGTATGGTGAATAAAACAGGTAGATATTTATATATAATGTGTGTATATAGCGTAATAACACCACACAGTATTGTTGGAGGAGAAATATTAGTGCGTCTGGCCTTGAGGGCGGCCGCCGATCAGCAGACTGTGTGAGTAGCCACATCTTTGTGCCTTTACTCACCATACAAGCTTAGATGTACAGTTATGGTGAACAAAACATGTAGATACTTATATATAACGTCTGTATATAGTGAATTATAGCAAAAACATTATTGCGGGAGGAGAATGTGGGTGAGTCAGATGACTGGAGGGAGGGCGGGAGTGGCTGGCTGGTAAACGGCAGTCACTCCTCGTTACTTTTTGACTCATAATAGCTACTTAGTGGTTCGTTATAGTGAACAAAACATGCAGATACTTATATATAACCTGTGCTTATAATGTAATAACCGACAAAGTATTTGTTCACTGATTGAAGAACATAATTGAATCAACAATATGCACACCATATTTTTGAGTACAGCAATGATTCACTCATTTTATTATATAAATATATCAAACTACACACTATTGAATAATATTACAGCAAAAAAAGTATGAAAAATCAATCAGAGACATTGAAATAATTCGGTAATTATCTCTTTGTGGCAACTCCGGCCTGACAGCTTGCGAGCAACAGACCGCCTGGGACGCACGCCGAGTCAGCGCCTATAATTTGCCAGACTTCCCCGCCCTATAGCGGGCAATATATGCCACTTACGATTTTTGTATTATTTTTCCCGTGATCAGTGAACACAAATTAACAGGTTAGGAAGAAAAAATATATTTTTTTTTTTTTCAAAATGACATGCGCCTGTGGGGATGACAGGATATTAAACCCCGAGCATGTTAAGGGTTAATATGCTATGGGTGAACTGGTAGACACGTGTCCAGGGCCACACATGGTCAAAAGCAACTTAGTTGGACTACTCGTTTCTTGTGGATGTTTGGCAAGTGTATAGAGTAAAGATAACCCCATGAGATAAGGTTCCCAGAAGAGATGTACTCCTGTCACTAAATCAGGCAGGTTTGTTTTGTTTTGCCTAACCTTTCTGGTGGGTTTTTCCGATACAGTGCTTCAAAATACGAGAAGCTTGAGTAAAGATCCAAAATAGTTAGTTTTTTAGGTACTGGACTCAAAAGCATATCCATACATATTTGTTAGCAACATTGTGTGTTGCTATCTCTTATCTCTGACAAAAGAGATAAGAGATAGCCTGGGGCTGATGGATTAATGCCATATTGTGGAATTACTTTTGAATTTGATTTTGTTAAGGGATTTTATTATGTTTCTAAGATTTGAAGTCTAGTTTTCAGGAATTTCTGAGAATCAACATACAATAACTGAAGCTCATGCCATGATAAAGTTTTGAAGAAAAATATTTTTGCACATAAAAGCAACATCTTTACATGACAATTTTCATCACCCTACAGTCTATAGGTCGTATTACATGAATATTTGTTGTCCCCTAGCATTTCATTTTTCTACCTTGGTTTAGCTTGATTACTATTATTTATAAAGAGGAAGCAAAATATTTAATATAAATACAGTAAATATAAATAGAATAAACCAACATCTGTTTACCTTTGCACTACGCCAGCACCGACAAAAGACTGCCTTGTTGCCAAGATCTTCTATGTCCAAAGAATCCACAACTTTCGCCTCTCCTTTACGTAAATTAGGATTTATTGGACCACCAAACTGCAGCATTATGACAAAGAAAAAATGACTAGACATACTGTAGTTGAAATCACATATGTTGAGAAAAAAGGACAGGACAGGGATATCTTATAATAGATATATTATTAGTATCTTTTGGAGCATTATTAAAAAAAAAAAAAAAAAAAAAAGTGGGGGCACTGCCACCTATACACTCAATATAGCTACTAGCAGTGTATTCCTGGCCTGAGGCATGGCCCCTAGGGCCTAATCTGACCTGATGATTACCAGTCAGGCTGCCACATCTCTTTCCCTACTGCCAACCTGCTACAACCTCCCCCCCCCTCCCCATACAACTCTACCACCAGTTGTCAGAGGGGGGGGGGGGGTTGTGGCCAACAGCTTGCCAACTGCCCCCTCCTCTCATCAGATTGTTGAGAAAATTCTATGAGTTTGCTTGATTGGATTCAATAATGCTCATATATGCATCATTTTATACCAAATTGTTTGCAAGTGATTGTTCTATCAAATGTCATAGTCAAAATAAAGGTTTCATAATAATTGGATTTTTTCAGAGTATTTATATCGAGACCAATAAAGTTGGCTTGTGCAAATCCTGATCATTATGGTACATCATATTTGCAACCACCAATAATGGTCACACAGTTATGTGCCATGTTCAAAATGATAAATAAAAAAAACTGACAAAAGAGATAAGAGATAGCCTGGGGCTGATGGATAAAACTACTTCCGCTATGGAACGAATCTGACTCACCCCATAGTTTTTCAAGCAAGGACACACTGTGTTGAAATCTCCCAAACTAGTGCAAGCTTGTTTGCCTAGGGGCCGGCTAGTCGAGAGGACAGCACGCTGGAGACGTGCTCCTGTGATCCCGGGTGCCGGCGAGAAACGATGGGCAGAGTTTCTTTCACCCTATGCCCCTGTTATCTAGCAGTAAATAGGTACCTGGGAGTTAAGTCAGCCGTCACGGGTTGCTTCCTGGGGGTGGAGGCCTGGTCGAGGACTGGGCTGTGGGGACACTAAAGCCCCGAAATCAACTCGAGATAACCTCACCTCCCCCATTCCTTTGGGGATCGGGGGAGGGGGGGCAGCTCCTGGGCTACTCAACCCTTATTTCTACAATAGATGTAACCAACCTCCCAACGACATGGAGGGAGGGAGGGAGGGAGCCACACCAGGGATCACCCAGAAATTGGCACTTCATTACATTCAATGCTAGTTTTTTGGTGGGAGCCCCTCATGGCTCTCTCTGAAGCTTAATATACACAGAGAAAGAAAAACAAATGAGCACTTACCAGGAAACACCACAAGAACTATGAAGACAGACTCCTGGCGAAGACATGCAACCCAAAGCCACAAAAGGGGGCCTAGGCACACTGACAAAATACCAGGTCGCCAGAACTCTGTTCGACCTCCAAAACCCATGCACCCAAATATCAGCCCAGGACATATTCACAAACTCAGCCGAGAGAAAAGCATATTTCTAATAATGCGAGGGCAGACCATAGGCTGGCTAAAGTTCACACAGTGGACAACCTGAGCAAGACAAGCCTTTAAACAGGGGGGCCAAGTTGAGAGGATAAGCCCACAAAGTATCCACTGGGGCACTGGGGGTAGAATTGGTGGCAAGTAGGTAGTGGTAGTAACAGAGAGCTGCCACTGGACAACACATGATACACCCCCGGCCGAACCAACCAAAAATCAATGACCAAAATCTCTTTGGAAGCCAACTGACTCATTCTTCTCTAAAAGAGAAGGAGCTGGCTGCAAACAAACCATCTACTAGGGCCAAAGAACAAAACTCCTACCATCAGAGGAGAGTGGGAATTTTGCTTCCATCCAACAAATGGAAGCAATAGAAACCTAAAACAAAGATTCAGAAATGATCATGGACCAAAGGGAACACAGTAAACAGAGCTGAAGAAACGAGAGAACATGGTCCAGGGAGCAAGCAGGCTCAGGTGGTGCTCGAGCAGGCCGGAAATAAAGTAACACAAGACAGCAAGCAAAACAGATCAGAGATAATAACGATCACGCATGCAAACTGCAGTGGCTCCACCAGCTCAACACGATGAGGCAACGGTATTTGGCATAAAATGCCAATCGAGAAAAAGTCAGGCCAGAAAGGAGAGTTCCACTCTCAAACTGAAGAACAACGAAGAGAAAGGACGTGGCAAAAGGAGTGCCAAGAAATCTCATACTATCACTGCAAAAAAGACTGCAGGTGGGACACTACCAATGAAACCACCCAATTGCCATAGAGATGGAGATAAATATGCATAAATAATGCCAGACCCAAAGAGCAAAGGAGGTGGAACCAGCATAGTACGTCATCCGACCGCCCCACTGATAGAGGCGGAGCTGCAGAAAAAACACCCGGGTTCAAACACTGAGCAAGCAATACATGAAACCACGGCCGAGCCAGCAACCAAAAAGCCAGAAGGATCACCCTCCCTCTGTAGAACTCCATCCTGGCCAAAAAAATAGAGCAACACCCAAACTGGAGAAAGGGAGGAAGCTCAAGATACAGGAACACCCTTCTCTACCAGTCCAGCCAAAAGACAGCCACTATGAGGGGACCCTCACTATCGGGGAATGGTGCCGCATGCAAAGGAAGGCACCGAGACCATGCCAATACAACATGGTCCACATCCAGGTGCCTAAACGTCTCGCAAAATCACAGGAAGGAAGCACTATTGACGGTCTACTGTGTAGACAGGAAGGAACCAGGACAGCTCAAATGCAAGGATGTTGTACACTCCCTGGACATGAACAGCATGGAGAACCAACTTCTAAGAACCCAGCAAAAGAGCTAGATGTAGCGTCCAGCTCCAAAGAGGCAGGGACCGAAGCGAATGCCCCTGGTTGAGAATGAACCACAGAGTTCAAATGTAGCCAGAGCACAGAGAAATCCATATTCTCCACAGCACATGCCACATGACTGCAAACTCCTAAACCGTACTGTAAGCCCAATAAGGAGAGGAGACCAGTAACCTTAGCCGGTTTGGCGAGTGCTGGTCACAAAGCCACAACCCAGAGCCGAGACATTCGTGAATACATTGAACAAGTGCCGAGGAAGGTACCAGGCAACCTAACCCCAAAAAGGCCGAAGAGGAGGAGCGCGATGCAGGAACAGAGACCATGGACTTCACACCCAACAATTGCGGCAGCAGCAAAAAGGGCTGCCCCAGACACCAGAATAGCCACCAAAGTCAAACCTTACCCAGGGGAAACAAAGCAAGTAAAGTTTAGGCTCCCTCAACCAATTTAGCAACAAACAGTGGCATGCAACCGAGTCAAGGCCACAGTAGGCAAGGAAAGCAACACCGACCAAGATTTCCAAACTAGGTTCAGCCAAGTCGACTAAACCCCAAACGGGGCAGCTACAGGGAATGGAGCATAACCTAGTTCTGTACAGTGGTGCCTCGGTTAACCAATTTAATCCATTCCGGCACTGAGCTCGTCATGGAAAACAACAATAACACCGTCGTCGGAGGCGTCCAAGAACCAGCGGGAACGCTAGGAAACACCACGTGGTTTTCTTGTTAACCGAGCGGAAGCTCGTCAATCGAGAAATTTTCTGCGAGTGGCTCGCCCGTTACCTGAAATGCTTGTAGATGGGGCTGTTTGTCACCCGAGGTTCCTCTGTACTAGTCAAAATTATGCACCCCCTGCTCAAGGCAGCATATACTTGTGGCAAAAAAAAAAACGGGATGATGGTCTTAAGAGTGAAAGATTGCAGACAGAAGTATGCACCAGGTACACAACATTACAGTGCATTACCTCCTTGGAGCCACACAGCTGGGGTGTTTAGTTGCCCCCCAGGTATTCATAGCAAGTGGTTGTGTTGTACATCTCGCTCTGGCACCTTGCTGTGTTTTATAACGGTTAACAGTGGGGTTGATGGCAAGACATTTCTATGGTGGTGATGTAAAAACAAAGAAACCATTGCTCATATCATAACTTTAAAGGAAGCAAGCCACCAAAGTACTGTATGGAAATATGTTAACTATTGTGTGCAGCCAAGTCGGCATTAGGAAGTATTGAGCATGCTTCTGAGGGGAAAACACTGGTGAGATACCATCAAAGAAACATCAGTCTGGTCATCCCAGGAAGACTTCAAGGTTTAACCTTGCTGTAACATGAAGTTCCAATGAAAGCTTCAGAACTTTCAGAGACCTTGAAGACATCTTCCTTGGATGACCAGACCAATGTTTCTGTGATGGCAATGCCACCAGTGTTTTTACCTCGGAAATGCTTGGAGACTGTACTTGTGGTCGGTCTTTAACCCACTGTTCATGTAACATTATACATTAAAATTTTTAACTAGCTCATCAAAACTAACTTGCTTACCTAGCTGAATTTTGGGGTTCAGTCCCCGAGTCCATTATGTGCCTCTTAACCCTTTCCACTACCACTCACAGGATGAGTATGGGGTGCATAATAAATGAACTAAACTAAACTCTGGCACTGGTCCCCTGGCAGACCTACAGAACTTTGCAACTGATGCAACCTTGTAGATGGCAAATTATCAGTGATAGTTGACAAAAATTGTTATCTACCCCCACAGCAACGTCAAGGGGAAAGGGGTGTTTGGCAAATTACTAGTTATTGCTATCATCTTCATACACTGTACTACAATTCCATCATTCCATGCTGATGGCCACTTCCAGTGCCAAGAAAATAAGCCACATTTTGGCCAGGAAGTTACGAACATAACAGCTACACAAAAAAAATTCAGGATTGGATACTTTTCTCATGTTTTGCTTTCAAAATATGAGGCTGTACATGTTAATATTATTACACAACACTGCTGTGTAAGTCACCAGCTAGTTCCACATCATAGAGCAATATCTAGTCTTATTGTATAGAAGTTAAGGTATCCATATACACATTACTGTAGGCTACTATACTACCAATACAAAACTAATATTAAAAAGAAAGTTTTGTACAGTATATAAATATTTAGCATCTATACAAATATTTTTCCACTAAATTATGCAATACAAAATTAAATACAATTAGATAGCATATAAATTTAAGAATATATTTACACAGTTATTACACTCTTGTAATAATAGTAAAGCTAAAACTGCCAACTGATAAATGACTACTGTACAGTACCTGCAAATAACTTTTCAAAAGATACATTTCTGAAAGCTCTGCTAAGAGTAAAATAATGCTGACAAAAGTCCTCTTAAAGGTCATGAATACATTGTGCTTTTGGTATACACTGCAATCCTTGCTCATAATATGACATGTGCACCTACAAATACTCTAATTTCAAATGTACTTATTGTAACATTTTTATTTATGTACATACTTAGTGATTTAGTCCCTGAAAATTAATGTAATTAAAAACACTAATGTACATTAATGATAAGAAGAAAGTACTTGTTTAAGTATAGACTTATTTTTTATCCAACTTCAAAATGGAAAGTATGAAATTTTTTAATGAACAATAGGTACATGACATATTATAAACCAACTAAAACAATTGCTGAACTTACTTTTTTATCACAAATCATTTTAGCACCAAAGCCAACAGCAGCACACGCAACACCAAATGGCAGAAGTGATGCCCAGTCAGAAGCTGATAAAAGTATGTAATGTTATGACATGACTCAGAATTCCTAACAAAACAATTAGGCCAACTGTACTTATAAAACAGAAGTTTATTAAATTAAGTTATAATATAAATGTTTGGCTTCATTTGCTTTATTTTTGTGCTGACCAAGAAAAGAAAGATATTAGGATTATCCTTGGGTGCCCCATACCATAAAGATACTGGATATGAAGAAAACCAGTGTTGAATGTGATGAAATGCCAGTTTCTGGGCGAGCCCTGGGAGGCTTCCTCAAGCTATCTTTCTGATATGGTGCCATATTAGTTGGGGTCATCTGTCTTAAGAGTTCTTGTTGCCTACTGGGAACTGGAGCCAGAACCTGGTCCCCTCAGAGAGGCGCAGAGAGCAATGGCCTATGAGCACTTTACATTTTGAGTATATCATACTTGCCATCGATCGGGGAAGGCACTCAGAAAAGTAGACAAATCAAAACGAATCACTCTTTGGTTGAGAATTGCGAGCTACATCCTCAAAACAGCAAAAGAACTTCCCCAGAAAGAAAACAAACAAAAAACCACTTCATTCAATTAGCCCTCCACTCATTAGAGGTACCCATCCCCCACAAGAGGAAGGGGGGAGCCGACCCCTTGGTGAGCCAATTCAGTTCTTGAATGATGAAGGGTGCCAACCAAAGGAATGGAGGGTGTCCTGGGCTCAACCAGAAACTGGTGTTTCATCACATTCAAAACTGGTTTTCTGTGGGGAAGCTAACTACCCACAGAGAATGTAAACAGGGACTTACCAGGAAGGCGGAAGCACCACAGGTCACAAAGCGAGGAAGAAACAGATTGTCGCGACAGGCACCACAAAGTTACACAAGGCCGCAGAGGAACGGAGACATTCAAGAGATACCTGGCAGCCAGGGTCGTGTTCGACCTCCAAAACCTCGTGACCAAATATCATCCCAAGATGTATTACCAGACAGAGCCGAAAGAGCGGCATACAGTATTTCCTAACATCATGGTTGCGAGGGTAAACTACAGGCTGGCTAGACTTAATCACAAAGCGGACAACCTGAGAAACAAGCCCTGGAACATGGAACCAGGGAAACCGGATCAACCCGGAGCACATCCGACACAGAACCGGTGACCTGCAGGTAGCGGAGTAAAGCAGCTACCGGACATCGAGCGTGATGCACCCCCGGCCTAACCAACCAAGCATCTACAATCAATGGACCCCTTCGAAAGCTTGCAGTCTCATTCTTTGCCAGAAAAGAAGGAGACGGCTGGAAAAAAAAAAAAAAAACACCAGGACCTAAGAAACAAAACCCCTGGGGCCAGAGACTAGCATGAAGCTCGCCAACCAGACTTCCAGAGACCAAAGCCAACAAAAACGCCTTCCAAAAATAACCCTGAACCGAAGGGGCTACCACAAACCAAGGAGAAGACAGAAAAGAAAGAACCCGGTCCTATGACCAAGAAGGTTCAGGCAACTAAGCCAGAACCCGGAGCAACAGCTGGACTTGGGGCATGAGGTACAGGAACCCCCACCTCAACCAGTCCTGCCAAATCCTCCACAGCGCTAGTCACACCGCCGCATACTCCCGCATAGGGCTGTGAGCCTGATGATTGGACATCTGCCAATGCCTGGCCGGACTGGTGAGCACTGATCACAAAGCCCTAGCCAACAGACGAGACATCCCTGAGCACATCAAGTGAGGGAAGAGTAGGTGCTATGGCACCGAGCCCTGAAAAACGTGAGGAGGAAGCCGGTGACAGTAACTGGAGCATGGACACCAGGGGTCAAACCCAGTGATCAGGAGAGAGACAAAAAAGGATGTACCAAAGATACCAAAATAGCCTCCAAAGCCAAAATCTGTCCAATGGAAAAACCAGGAAAGCAAAATTCAGGGAAAGAGGATTTAGGATAGAACAGAGGGAAGGAATGATGTCCAAACACTTTGACGGTTGGGGATTGAACACCAACCTAAAAAAAAAAAAAAAAAAGAGAGACCGTCACTCTACTGTCTGGCCTAAGTGGTTGGGCCAAGTGGAAAACAAGTTTTGTCTGTCTTGTATACGATTTTACCATACCCTAAATTTAAATCAACAGTAACACAATCAAAACTTTTTTAGCTTTAAACATTTTGGGGTACAGTGCCTGAAGACTACATAACCAAGTCACCACTGTCTACGGTATTGATATGCTGAGTATACTGTACTAAACTAATGAAACTCCATTATGGAATGTTGGGATGCAGCAGGAAAAACAAGAAACATGTAAAAACACATTGGCTTGATAATACAGTATTATGGTTGAGTAATGTAATTAAGCAAAATATACCAATAAGAACAGTGGTAAATAAATCAACATCCAGTGCTTCCCAGTCACTAACACCAAAATCATTTAACTTTTTTTTCTACAAAGGTTGATAAAAGCCATCAAGAACTTGAACCTATTGTTGGTGGGAATGATGCGGCAGTAGCACACGATGAGCAGCATATTTACACCATTGCACAACGAGCGGCACATTTACACCATGACACGTGGAGTGTGATGGTGTAGATGATGATACACCATCACCAATGGAGTCCTGCAGGGACATAGAGAAAGATCTAGGAGTTGATATAACACCAAACCTGTCTCCTGAAGCCCACAAAGAGAATTACATTTGCGGCATATGCGAGGCAGGCTAACATCAGAACATCCTTCAGGAACCTGTGTAAGGAATCATTCAGAACTTTGTATACCACATACGTAAGACCAATCCTGGAGTATGCGGCCCCCAGCATGGAGCCCGTAACATTGTCAAGCACAAGACGAAGCTGGAAAAAAGTTCAGAGGTATGCCACTAGGCTAGTCCCAGAACTAAGAGGCACAAGTCACGAGGAAAGGCTCCATAAAATGTACCTCACAACACTGGAAGACAGAAGAGTAAGAGGGAGACATGATCACTACCTACAAAGTTCTCAAGAGGAATTGACAGGGTAGATAAGGATAAACTGTCTAAAACGGGTGGTATGCGAACAAGGGGACACAGGTGGAAACAGAGTACCCACATGAGCCACAGGGACATTAGAAAGAACATTTTCAGCGCCAGAGTAGTTAACAGATGGAATGCATTAGGCAGTGATGTAGTGGAGGCTGACTCCATACACAGTTTCAAATGTAGATATGATAGAGCCCAGTAGGCTCAGGAACCTGTACACCAGTTGATTGACAGTTGAGAGGTGGGACCAAAGAGTCAGAGCTCAACCCCCGCAAGTACAACTAGGGGAGCACATGACGAGCAGCTCATTTACACCACCACTCGACAAGCAGCTCATTTACACCACCACTCGACGAGCAGCTCATTTACACCACCACTCGACGAGCAGCTCATTTACACCACCACTCGACGAGCAGCTCATTTACACCACCACTCGACGAGCAGCTCATTTACACCACCACTCGACGAGCAGCTCATTTACACCACCACTCGACGAGCAGCTCATTTACACCACCACTCGACGAGCAGCACATTTACACCACCACTCGACGAGCAGCACATTTACACCACCACTCGACGAGCAGCACATTTACACCACCACTCGACGAGCAGCACATTTACACCACCACTCGACGAGCAGCACATTTACACCACCACTCGACGAGCAGCACATTTACACCACCACTCGACGAGCAGCACATTTACACCACCACACGACGAGCAGCACATTTACACCACCACACGACGAGCAGCACATTTACACCACCACTCCACGAGCAGCACATTTACACTATCATTATGAACAGCACATTTACACCATCACACGATAAGCAGCACATTGACACCATCAGTGTGCTGCACTATACACACACAACATGTTCTCATAGTAACCCCGCATTACCTCCACTTCACCATAGTGTTACCTGACAAATTCCTGTAGAATTCCATAATGCAAATGTAGACTATTTAGGATAAAGATTAGCAAAGTCACCGTCCTCCGTCGTCCTCTGGCTGCTTCTGAGTCCTGACATACTCACCTCTGTCACGACATTGATACTTCAGCCAACGACAAAGCCGTTTTCTTCGTAACTTGTTTGTGATTGGCTAACTGGGGCTCCTCCCTGTAATATTAATCCTGACGCAATGCACTTTGTGGCGGCATTTTCAAAAGATGGTGTTTCGTATTGATCATTGTATATTTCCTGACTTCAGAAGCTTATAATGAGTATATGTGTAGCATTTTAATTTTTAATTGAAATCAAATATATACCTTATCTCGGAGGTTGTCAACATTTTCAACCCATCAATATCTGCGTATTAGGACCTTATGTATGTGCCTTACAAAGGCACATTGGGTTGCTAAATGCTAAACGTTGTACTGTATACTCACACTGCACGATACTCGCACTGTATCGTGTGCTACCCCAAGATATGTGCCTAAGCCATATAACATCACCGTTGTAATCATTGCCATCATCTTATATCATGCTTGTTATGTTATTCATATTCTGTCCCAACTTCATTCTTTTGGCCTTCGTGGTAATCTCCCTCTCTTTCTCCACAGCTTCCTCTCTCGTCGTTCCTTTCGAGTGAGGCTTGGTACCACTCTGCCTCTTTTCAGCAATATGAGGGGTGTGCCCCAAGGTAGTGTTCTGAGCACTACTCTTTTTCTGGTTGCCCTCAATGGTCTTCTTTCCTCTCTTCCTTCTGGCGTCTTCTCCGCTCTCTATGTCGAATGATTGATGAAGATTAAGCCACCCAAGAGGTGGCACGGGCATGAATAGCCCGTAAGTGGTGGCCCTTTTGAGCCATTACCAGTATCAAGAGCTGATACTGGAGATCTGTGGAGGCGCGACTGCATGCACCCTGCGTGACGGGAGATGTCTCCCAGACCAAGTGGTGACCAGATGGTGTCTCTATGTCGATGATCTTACCCTTTGCTATCGGGGTGATGATTCGCCTCTCCTTCAATGGCGGCTTCAACTTGCAATTGATGCCGTGTCGTCTTGCGCCATCGATCAGGGCATAGGTTCTCTACGTCTAAGACTTGTGCTATGACTTTTACTCAGAAGCGTGTTGTTCTTCGTCCCTCTTTGTCGCTTTATGGTCAACCCCTTGTGTACAAGGATTTCGCTAAGGTTTTGGAGTTAATCTTTGACACTCGTTTGTCTTGGTCGGCCCATATCTCTTACCTATTAGTTGAATGCTCTAAGGCCCTTACCCTCCTTAAGGTTTTGTCCCATACTTCTTGGGGAGCGGATAGGCGCACTCTCCTCGCTTTACATTCCTCTCTCGTCCTGTCTAAACTTGATGATGGTTGCCCTACTTACACGTCTGCTTCTCCTTCTACTCTTCGCTGTCTTGATGCTTTGCACCATACTGGGTTGCACCTCAGCGCTGGTGCTTTTCGTTCGGCTCCCGCCCTCAGCTTGTATGTTGACACTGGATTCAGATTCAGATTCAGATGTTTATTCAGGTAAGGTATATACATACAAGTGATGTTACATTAATGGATTGATATATAGATAGAGCTAGTACATACAATGCCTAAAGCCACTATTACGCAATGCGTTTCGGGCAAGGGCTTCCTGTCTCTCCAGGACCGCAGTGATCACTACTGTCTTCGCTTCCTCTCACCTTTGTCGTGCTTTAACTTTTACCCCTCCTTTAGTTCCTGTTCCTCTTCACCACCTCCTTCTTTCTGTCCGGTTATCTCGCTTACGGGATTCTCTTTCAGTTCATATTTCTAATATTTCTCCTCATATTGTTCCTTCCTTATCCCCGTGGAGAGTCCCCCTTCCGAAGTTTTGTACACCCTTGACCTGCATCACTAAAGCTTTTACCCCTCCTACGGTTCTGAAATGCCGTTTCCTTGAGCACTTTTCTTCTCACTCCCGCTCCGTTTCCATCTGCACCGATGGGTCTAAGTCTGCGGACGGTGTAGGTTACTCTGTTGTTTTTCATGACCGCACTTATATGTGTTGCCTACCTCCGGAGACTAGCATCTTCACAGCTGAACTTTATGCTATTCGTCTCCTGCTTTCTCGTTGTCATTTTTCCTTTGTGATTGTCGTTGACTCTTGTCGTGCCCTCATGTCTCTCGGGTCCTTTAATCCGGTCCAGCCAGTGGTCGTCGAGATTCGACATTGGCTGTTTCTTATTTCCAGTAAATTTTAAATCGGTTGAATTTTGCTGGGTTCCCAACCATATTGGTGTCTCTTTAAATGAGCGTGAGGACACTGCCGCTAGGGAAGCTGTCCGCTCGTCTCATCTCCCGTAAAGGTATTTCTTATTCCGACTTTTACCCAGTTATTCATTTCTCCATCCTTACCCGTTGGCAGGATTGTTGGTCTTCTGTTACTGGTAATAAACTGCGTACTCTTAAGAGTCGTGTGTCCTCAATGCCCTCCTACTACCGTAACCGGCGATGGGAAACGGCCCTGGCGAGGTTGCATGTTGGCCATACACGCTTAACTCATGGTCACTTAATGGAGTGCCATCCTGCTCCTTATTGACGAAATTGCATTGTCCCTCTTACCGTCGTGCATATCCTTGTTGAATGTCCTGACTTCCAGGACGAGCGTGTGTCTTGCTTTCCGACCGTCCCTCACGGTCACTTGTCCCTCGATAGAATTCTTTGTGAATTGGATAAATATAAATAATAAATAAATATGTTTATTCAGGTAAGGTACATACATACAAGTGATGTTACATTAATGGATCAATATACAGATAGAGCTAGTACATACAATGCCTAAAGCCACTATTACACAATGCGTTTCGGGCAGATACTTTTGATATCGTTCGCCTTATGGGTTTCTGTTCTCGTATTGGTATCCTTGGTGATATTTAGCGTCCTCTGATTATTCCGCACATTTGATGGTGCTACATAGCCTTCCTGGTTTAGTGCCTTCTTTTGATAATTACTTACAGCATTGTGGTTTAAACTAAAGTCATCAGTAAAGCACGTGTTAGATAAGTGTTCGAACGTCATCAGTTAGACGAGTCATATGAAAGATCATCAGTTGAGTCATGTGTAAACCGTTTTCATTCACAAACAGGAGGTTTGGCAGGTGCATGGAATGGACTTTGGCCAATGTTTATGAGGATGGGCTGAATGTTAAATGGCACTCATTTAACACCTCCATGAACCTCTACCAATTATCCAGTCAAGTTTGTTTCTAATCTGTTTGCCAATTGAGCTCAATTTGACTGGGTTTAGTTTACATATAATTAAGGCTCTTTGTTACAATGCATGGCAAAACCATTGCCATAAGTAAACATCATGGCATAGACTTATTTTTTTTTTTTTTTTTTTTTTTTTTTTGAGATATATACAAGAGTTGTTACATTCTTGTACAGCCGGTCGGCCGAGCGGACAGCACGCGGGACTTGTGATCCTGTGGTCCTGGGTTCGATCCCAGGCGCCGGCGAGAAATAATGGGCAGAGTTTCTTTCACCCTATGCCCCTGTTACCTAGCAGTAAAATAGGTACCTGGGTGTTAGTCAGCTGTCACGGGCTGCTTCCTGGGGGTGGAGGCCTGGTCGAGGACCGGGCCGCGGGGACACTAAAGCCCCGAAATCATCTCAAGATAACCTCAAGATAGCCACTAGTATGCGTAGTGTTTCGGACAGGTTCCTGGAATAAGACCCTCCATGAAGAATCGTTTTTACAACCAAGTACTCATTTTACTGTCGAGTTAAACAGAGGCTACAGTTAAGGATGCCCAGTAAATCCTCCCCGGCCAGGATACGAACCCATGACAAAGTGTTCAGGGAACGCCAGGCGAGTGTCTTACCACTACACCACGGAGACTGGTTTAGATTGGACTGAGATTGGACTGGACTGAGACTGGACTGATTTATCTATAGCCGTGTAATATTCAATGTGTATAGCCATACAGTACACTGATAGACTTACCAGTGGCTTAATGCTGCAAATGGTCATTCATTAAATTTAATAATATGGATAATTCTTGCAGGACTCGTGTAGTAGCACGTAACTGCAAGCTCAAGTAAAATCCTTCAGATTCTCGCTAGACAGATTTAACTCTTTAGTCTTCATTCTATACTGCAAGTCTACCTAAAAGCTAAGTGCTCGCAATGTATATCAATTTTGTTTTTATTTATAATAATTATCCTAGAAATTTTACTATAAAATTTTGTAACAAATAATTTAGGGAATCCAGAGTTTTGAATGGATTAAATCTTTAGTATAGAATTCCCCACGTGTTTGTTTTTCAGCATTGTAACTACCTGCACCACTTTCCTGGAAAGTCCTGTGATCCTTTTTTTGTCATTAGCTGCAGGGAGCCAACAAGGGCCTCCTCCAGAAAATGCATGTTGGATGTACTGTAATGAAGCGCCCCTTTCTGGGTGAGAACCCCTTTTTTTTATAATTATTATTAATAGACTTAGGGTAGCAGCACTATTCTGTATGATGGATTATGGAGTGTAGATCAAAGGCTAGCTATGAGATCATTTAAATCAGGAGAGAACATAAAATGCAAGTTTAGTATTAAGAAAATTGATTTCTAGAGCAAATTTATAATGTTGATGAGACAAGTTTGTGCTGGTGGATGTAGACCCACAGGCACTATGGCTCATAATGACTATGGTGATGGGTTATAAGCTTTCAGGTGGTTATAAGCAGAACAAACAATTTGTGTGTTCTGCTGTGCTAATGCAACTGGCACGCACAAATGCAAATTACTTGTGATTGGGATTAGCAAAAACTCCATGGTTTTATAGTTATCTAGGTGCCTATCTGTGGTTTATAAGAACCAGTCAAATGCATGAATGTCTCAATATTTGTCGAGTGGTTTATTTGGAAAACAAGTGGGAAAACATGTAGCTGAGGTGAAGGAGCACCTCAAATGTGTTGGCCTCCCACAAAACAGCAATGTTGTGCTGCTTCTAGATAAAAGTGCAATAATCAGCCAAGAACAGTTAAGGAGTTTTTTAAAAATCTACACAATAAAGTAAGCTAACTGGACTATTGCTAGTTAATGTTATATGAAGTAAAGCTAACAATACTATGAAATGGTTAGATAAAACTTTGGCCTGCATCAGGTCTGTTTCCTAAGGAACATACCAAGGCAGATATGGGGGCCAAATCCTTCAAATTCCAAATTTGAAGGATTTGGGGCCAAGAAAATTAACAAGAAGAAAAAATTACAAAAGGATTCCTAGTCTTTGTCAGAGGAATTATCTTCCCAGAACTGAGAGCAGAACTGGTGACAAACACTAGATGATGACATAGATAAGTGGATAGATTATGAAGATTCCCCAACCTTTCAAAACATGACTGATTAAGAAATAAGATTTAATTAAAAAAAAAAAAAAAGCCAGGGGGGAGAAAAATAAAGATGAGGATGACAACTAGGAAGTGGACGAGGAAGTCTCAAAGGAAAAAGGTAACGTGGAAATGTTAAGAAATATTTTAAAGGCATTCTTGACTTTATGGAAACAAGTAACCAAGTTTGACACTAAGGACATAGTTAATCAGTACAATTTGTATATGAAATTTTAGGAAATCGTTTGCAAAAAGATTGTTCAAACAAGAGCGAAGGGAACAAAACAAACTTCAACTCAAGACTTTTGTAAAGGCTTCCAAAAAGCCTTGCATTGAACCACCTACACTTGGCTCATCACATGATGACCCAAACACTTCAACATCCGAAGTTACCTCATCACTATCAATCTCCACTTTAGTCAACCTAATACCACACCCATCTCTTCCATCTAAATAACAATGGTTCATCAACAATAATCTTTCAAGTTAACAAGCAGATCAGAACTTCTCATACTGGCGAGTACAAAATACTCTCAAAATTTTGCCTTAAATTTGTTATATTTTTTCCAGATGACAAACCATTTGGAAAACATGTGACCCTCTGTACTTACAATTCACTTAAGTCCAAGGAGGGAAGAAGTGACCTCTGGTCCCGAGAAGCACCTGTGCTCCTCACCAAAATCCAAGACACATTGCCTTAGGATTTTGGATGTTCCATATAGCTACCACTAATGCCATGTGACTGAATGAGCCTTTGTTTGCAAGATGAGATTGTATGTAGCTTCACACCTCCAATGAGGTGTGATGCTACATTATCTTCCCAGGATTGCCATTATTGACACAGGCTGACCCTCCTTTACGAGATAACTCCTGTTACAACCCGAACCAGGGTCTCACCAATGCCGGACAAAGTAGCTAGGTAGGTGGCTGCCTTCCGAGAAGGGGCTGCAATTACATGTATCCCAATTTTCAGAACATGTCTTGTTTTCCTAATGTCCCTAGGAATCACTTGTTCCTAGATAGAATTCTTGGTGAATCCAATACCTTGTGTCCTTTTGTTCTTGTATTGGCATCTTGAGAGAGTTGGTGCCTTGTGAACATCCAATGACAGAGTGCTACATAGTCTTCCTGGCTATGTATTTACCTGTTGTTAAATTACTTACATGAAATATTTCTTAAGGTGTTCTGGTAAACAAACACAGCATACACTAGTAACATTTAATCATTATACTTTTCTTTTATAAAATATTAAGAATCTGCACATGAAAGATTTAAAAATGCAACCAAAACAGTATCTAAGTGGACTTAAAAATCTGAAAAGAACAAAGCATAAATACACTGATCTAAGCCCCTCAAGTAAGGTTCAAACAAAACTATGAAACTCACTTGACTTTTTATTAGTCAGTATTCATACCAAGATCTTTTCACATGTGCAACCACAAATGCGGACGATAGCAGCACTGTCACTGAGGGTAAAATCTTTGTGTAAGCAAAATACAAATATAACTAATGCAATTTACTGCTCATTAGTAATATTCATCAGGACTTCCATTCTCAGTGATAATCAGTGCTTCAACATTGTAAGGCATCCATGTGATTGTAAGTGCTTCTTAATTCACTAGGGTATTGCAAGAATAAGAATATATAGATAATACAGTGGTATCAGAATTAAAGTAGGAACATTAATAACTGACCATTTTATTACCAGGTCTGCAATTTTACCAAGTTGTAAATTCACTCTTGCTTTGTACAGTCTTATAAAACAGTCTGTCCATCCATATTATAGTAAATCATTTTAATTACAGCAGAAAGGCACTCAAATGATTACAAACACAACAAAAATTTATGTATCAACAAGCTCTTAATATGCATACCCTTATTAGTTCCATCTTAACCTAAGTCAATGAGCATAATCATTTCAAACTGTACTTTGTGTTCAGTCTGTTAGAGAAATTTATCTTAAGATAAATACATTTTAAGCACCAAATAAATAGACATTAGTCACATCCTAAGCTAACTAATCAGTTAGTTCTGCACAAGATAGTCACAAGACTGACATGATCTGCAGTAACAGTTCATTACACAGTGTATGGCAGGGACGTGCCTAGTCTAATATTGCATGTCTACTACTCCAGAAAAGCAGTCTGTACTAATTATATTAAAATTAAGCCCAAGGTAAAGGTTTGAGAGATTTCCTATGATAGACTATTGAATTATATGTATGATATATATAAATTTCTTTAAATGTGGCCATAATGTTCCATAAACTTTTTCATACAGTAAATTATATACAACAGATATTGGCAGTGTTTTCCTGAATGTCAGGTGACACAAGAATTTGATAAGCACAAATTTGTAAAGATTGCATTAGCCCCCTACGCTTACAATGCATGGCATATTATGCAGACATAACTGGGTGGGACAAAAATGCCACACCTAGCTACTGTTTTAGGAAATTTTCATAATTAATGTACATACTACCAAAATAAAACTTTGTCTTGGTTACAAACCTAAAAGACATCTTTGATGGCTGAGTTTGCATACAGTTCTCCTGCAAAAAGGAAGACAACTGTTTTGGCACAATATAAAGCAAATACTGGACAGTTACCCGATACAACTATCATGAGTTACTCACTCTTGTGACTTACGAAGGTGCCAATATATGACAAATTTTAAACCATGTTCAGTTTCATATATGTGGCAAGGTGAACATGTACAATGCATTATGGACTAAATTCATTTGTGTGTACTAAGTTCTGACATACAATACAAAGCATTACCTTGATTTTTTTTAAAGCATGACCAAGAGAAAATCTCTACCTGCAATATTCTTGACAGCTGTGTGTACTACTCCATTTTAGAGAGATCATTGGAACTAATTATGATAATTTGCCCATTGTAAACCTGTCAATATATTTACAGACATTCATTATACCATATTAAGGCAGTGTGTACTGTATTTATGTTACAGCTGAGCAAAACCTATTTACTGGACATTATTATTATTCAGGGATGAAATTTAAGTAATGGCATCCCTTTCACTGCTCATACACCTGAGAATATAATTTAGCAACAATGGATGCATACATGAGTGGCTTCTCACATAATAAGGACAGGGTATTTATCTCCTGTGTACTCTTGAAAAAATTAATTCACGTATGCAGGTGGCATTACTCAAGCATGCAGGTAGTTGTCATTCATGTATGTAAGTAGTGTCACTGCTGATATTTAGAACATGGTATTCTGAAACAAATCCAGTAAATACTGCTCATGCTTGTCTGATGAACTGATATGACAGTATGAAGGCAAACACCTGATTCATAAGCCTTAATTTACTGTACATAAAAAAAACAAAAAAATGGAATCAATAAAAATTATATACCAGGTGTTGACAATTCTTTACAGTATTTTCTTAAACAATTGTTTGCATGAATAATTATAAATTACAAATTTTAACTCAACAATAATATCTAAAAATAATTAAAAGTTTGTTGAAAATGTACATAACCCAGTAAACAAATGCTTTTCAATTATTTATTAATCTAAATTTTTCCTCAATGATCAATTGTGCAAAATATTTGTAGTCTAAAAAGTACTCTGATATCAATGCAGACTGTTTCTGCATGACGTACTCTAGTAAAATAATGCCAAACATTTTTAATACTGATACCAAGGTTGTTTACGGACCCAACGCAACCTGATACCAGCATCTGTACGAATCTTGATGGATGCAGCTTCAGCAGCACGAACGGTTTCCTTCACTGACTGCATGAGATTCTGGGCATTACCTACCAGCATCTCTGTAGCTTCCTGGTCTTCTTCCGAGCCTACCAAAAGACACATGTTAATGCTACTTAAAAGTTAAATCTATATAGGTATCAATACTGTATTTAAAATTAAAGAACTTCATGCCAGTCCTTAACAGCCATTGTTGAAGTTCCCTGAAAATTATTTACCAAAAACTTCTCTATGTTATAAATTGTTCTTCTGTATTTTACACTGAATGTTGACATTTAATTTCTAGTAAATGTTTTAAAGCAATAATATGATTAAAAATTATTCAAGCTTTCCTAATGAATACACATTTAAATACAAAAAAAATCACACAAATTAATATTATTACACACACACACACACACACACACGGCAGAACACACACTCACAGAGTGAGCATCATACTGAGAAGTCACACTGCTGCAGGCTCCGGGATTCTTCAAATTATCTAAGTATTGGGAGTAGGGTGAGGGTTGCAAGTGGTGTCCCAGAATACATGAAGGTGTAGGGAATTTGAAAAGAAACTAAGAGATAAGAAATAAGTGTTAGTGAATGAAAAAATCTTGGCTAGAAAAGTTGATCTTTCAAAACAGCAGAATGTCAACAAAGATGGCCGCCACCACTGGGGGGGACAGTACTCCGACAAAGGAATGTTTTGCAGGTTTCTCACAGCAAGATGTAATGAAAGGTGGTTATCTTGGCAAGTTAGTGATTATTGAGGACATACTAAAGAATTATGAAGAAAAGGTAATTAAATTAGAACAAGAAAATGAAGATCTCAAGATTGAGTTTTGTAATTTAAAAGAAAGTATTTTCCAGCAAGGTAAGGAAATTACCCGCTTGACATAAGATAAAGAGACAGGAGGTACAAATCAAGGAACTAGTGAATGATAATGAGATATAGAAAATTTGAATAAATAAGAAAATACTCGTATGGTAAACAACTCAAAGTAACCCTACGTGCTAACATGGAGTTAGGCAAGGATATGCAAAGAGAAACTTCACTGACAACTCAAATAGAAGAGGTTAATAAAGGACTGGGAAAGTACAAAGAGGAAATAAAAGAAACATGTGAACAAGTTGTAAAACAGAAAGAAACGACCCAGGAAGTCTGTTTGGAAGTAAAAACCAAAAATGACCAGCAGGAAGCAGACATTAGACAAGCAATTAGGAAAGAACTGGTTACCAACAGTAAATTAGTAGAAAACACAGAAGATAGAAGCACGTCCATAGTAAGTTTTGAATGTCTAGAAAATGAAATATTATCTAGGATAGAAAGAGCAGCAGAAGAGGAAAAAATCATTGAGAAAATAGTAGGTTTAGGAGAAGGCTTCATGACAAAGTAAAAGGTCAGTGATTAAGAAGGATAGGTAAATGAGAGACAAGAATCACCCCTTAAGGGTGACATTTAATGGAGTGAAACAAATGACAAGTGCCAAGGAATGCCAGGAAACTGCAGAATGATGAGGAAACTTTGGTTATTAAGACAAGACCCCTCAAAGGAAGACAGAGAAAAGCTAAAATTAAACCTTGATGAAACAAAACGTCTAAATAGAAACAAAAATGAAGAAATTATTTTTTCTACATAGCAATACGCACTGGGTAGCCTGTGAAATGGTACATAAAAACAAACCAACAAAATCATTAGAGGAAGGGTGAGTAAAGGACAAAGAAAGAGGGAACATGTTCCTGAAAACAGTACATACCAACATAGAGAAAAAATATTGAAGCTAAAAGATAAAATTCAGCTTAAGGTCCCAGATATTGTCCCAAAGCAAGAAGATAGGAAAACTTGGACAGGCAGATTTGTAAACCTCATCTTGGAGATATACATGTATCAACATGTTAAGCAGGCCAAGAGAATGAGGAAAGGGGATGTACCATCTATGCTAGATATAATATTCACCAGGAAAGAAGGGATACTGTATATGACATTCAGTACCTTCCTCCCTTGGGGTAGGCATGACTATGTCCTCTTGGAAATAAAATATGCAATGTTTTATTAAATTGAATTAACAGATTAATCCAATTTACATTTTTCCTTATGGGGAAAATTATTCAATACTCTAACAGATCAGCACTCAACCGGCCTTCAGACCAATTAAGTTTGAGTACCGAGGTTCTATTGTATAAATAAATTACATTTCACACTATTGAATAATATTACTGGAAAAAAAAGAGAAAACCATTCAGAGACATTGAAATAATTAGGTAATAATAGTTTTGTGGTAACTCCCACCTCAAGGCTAGGCTGGAGGAGACTGACCCGGATGTGTATCAGAGCCTGTATCTTGCCAGACTTCCTTGCCCTATCACGGCCAAAATATGTCGCATACGATTTTTTTTTCCCCATGATCAGTGAACACATTTTGACAATCTTAGAATATGAAGAAAGAAAAAATAATTCTTACACACAGCACTGTTGTTGGTTAATAATAGCTGCACCATCCAAGAGTTAACCAGGATGAACCACATCCACGGAAAAGGAGGCACGGACGTTGTCCAAGTGGAGGAAACTAACACCTCTAATTTCTGATCTCTAAACACAATAGGGGCCAACTCTGGGGCATCCAACGAAATACAGTACAAGGCTGCAAATGCCCAACACAAGAAAAAGAAAACCTTGCCGATAAAGTGGCTGCTGCCTGGTAAGCTTCAGTACTATAACCCCGAACTCTACCTTTCAATACAGTACTCTAACCTGTTATGACTACTACAGGTTGGTGATAATACTGTGATGATGTTTAACCACTGCACTGTGCTGCATTATAATATGACAACCCACCCCGTGGTACATCGAAAATAAATTATTTCCAAAAAAACACCATTGAATGAAACGAAATGCCATTTTCTGGGTGAGACCCGGAGCTATCCAGGTTGATATGGATATATTAGATTTCTGGCATCAGTCAATGTACATGGAGTTCTAGGCCTACCGGGGACCACGAGCCAGAACTTGGCCCCTCAGAGAAGCATGAGGAGCAATGGCCTTTAGAAAATCATGTGTGGTTGGAAGCATTCTATGTCTGCCATTGACTGGGTCAGGCACCCAGAAAGGTAAGTGGCCCAAAACAAACCCCTATCTTGGGAAAACATTGCTACAAAGAGCCTAACGAGTGGACAGAACTTCCCAAATGAAAACAAGCAAACTATCATGATGTTACCACGTTGCCGCGCCACGGTCTGCGCAACCCCCCCCCTCCCCTGGAGGGGGAAGGGGAAGCCCCAGACCTTCACGACGGTTACCCACCCCTTTAGTTCTTAAGCTGGATGTCAAACACACAAAAAAACCCTGACTGGAGGGAGAGAGGGTTGCTGAGAAGACTCTGGGTCTAACCCAGAAATTCAACCCTGGTTTCAAATTACTGTACATTCAACACTGGTTTTCTAGGGGAAGCCCCATCGGCTCCCCCGAACTAACTACAAAAAGACAAAAACAAAAACAGGGACTTACCCTGGAGGCTGTCGGCCCTCGCTCAACTTGAAGTCGATAGAACTGCCTGCAACCACCGACCTAATGCGACACAGGCCCTACGAGGCCCAGGAACATTGACAAGGTAGTGAGTGGTGAGGACCCTGTTTGATCTCCACGACCAGGATGACTCAAGTGGTGTAGCAGGATGGAGGTGAAACAATGCATGAGACAGCTCGCAGAACAGAGCAGAAGTAACATAAATACCAAACACAAACTGCAGTGGCTCCACCAGCACCGCACGATACGAGGCGACAGTATTCGGCATAAAATGATGGTCCTGGAACAACCATGAAAGGAAGGACAAGACAATCCTATCAGAGACCGAAGTACACCTATACAGAGATAGGAAATAACGGAAGAACCGCCAGGAAACTTCATACTGCCACTGAGATGTAGCACGCAGGTGGAAAACCATCAACGAAGCCACCTGTGCACCATACTCTGACAACGGACTCAAGTCAGCAAGACCAGACGCGAAGACTCGAGGAGAAGAGGGAACCAGCCACGTACCAGGCCGGACCGATCTGTTGAAAGAGGCGGAGCCGTGGGAAGACACTCGTGTTCGGACACTGAGCAAGCAGCACCTGAAACCGAGTAAGCAGCGCCTGAAATCATGACCGGGCCGGCCACCAAGGAGTCAGAAGGAAAACTCTCCCCCTGATAAGTCTCTAAGCGAGCCAGAACCTAGAGTAACAGCTGAACCGGGTACCGGGTAGAAGAGATACAGGTAACCCCACCTTGCCCAGTCCTGCCTGAAGGCACTGATCCCGACCGGCTCGCAATCGGGAAAGGGTGCCACGTATATTGGAAAACGCCTCAACCACCCCGACATGAAGAGGTCCACTTCCAGAGACCCAAAAGTCCAGCAGAGCCAACTGAACGAGTCGGCATTGACCGTGTATTTTATGAACAAGGGAATGAACCGTGACAGGACGTTGGACACCCCCCGAATGTAAACTGCCAGGAGAGCCAAATTCCTCGAACCCTCCGGAGCGACATCCACACAGTCGCGAACTCCCTGACCGTGCTGTGGGCCCGATGGAAGGATGGACCCCACCACCTCTGGCCAGCTTGGTGAGCACTGGTCACAAAGCCCCAGCCAAGAGACGATGCATCCGTGAACACATTGAGTGAGGGCTCGGGTCGGCACCAAGGCACTGAACCCCGAAAAACCCAAAGAGGAAGTGGAGATACAGCAACCGACACAAAGCCCCCGGAGGCCGAACCCAGCGGTTGCAAGAGAGGCAGAAGGGATGTCCCCGAAGGAACCACAACAGCTGGTGAAGCCAAACTCGACCCTGTGGGTAGACCATCATGGCAAAGTTCAGGCTCCCGCACAAACCCTCAAGCAACTGCCGTGTAACCCGGAAGCCCCTCAAAAACAGGCGAAGGTGGGAATGCAGCCAATGCAGAGTCTCTGGAGGGAGATACAAGGAAGCGGTTCGAGCATCCCACACATGACCCAGCCATGACCAAACCTGAGAGGAAACCAGATGGGACTTCCACCAGTTCACCAGGAACCTGAACCCAGCGAGCCAGGAAAGAACCAAATCCCTGGCGAGCAGACATGGGGACTGG